GTACAGCCCTCGCAACCATGGCTACTACTGTGTCCATAACGAGTGACCTGGAGCCTTATCTGGCATCCCTCCGATCGTATCTGGCTAAGAATAAGCCCCCAGCTTCTCCAACAGAGGACCCAGCTGAAGAGTCCGAGACAAATACCAGCTCGAGCAATTCCGATCAAAATACCCAGCTCGAGCAGCCACGTCGGAAAGGAAGCAAGAATAACGATCGTGATGGCCGCCCCCGCCCGGTGATGAAGATGCGCTCGTGTCGAACACACTAGACACTGGTCTTAACCGAGGAACACTATATGAATGAGCTGGTGTTCACAAGTACGAATAGCAAGGCAGATTCAATGAAACAGCAAGCAAAAGCTCACACATACCTTCCCATCCCCAATCTTGCATTACGTTGATCCAGTGCAATTTGCCCCGAACCGTCTTTTCGAATTCAATATTCTCCAACGGGGAGATAGCGGAGCTCCGTCGCGAGTTTCCAATAGTAGCCTTAGAGGCCAACCATTCCTCCTGGATCGTCCTCCTCCACGGCTCCTTGGCGTAGGTACTACGGGCCCTCTGGTCATTCGACCCAAGGCTAGTGAGAGGCACTCTATCGTTCGTCAAAGTCTCCATGACAGAGTTGATCCCACGCCCAGACGATCCCCGCAACCGTTGTTTCTCATCTTCGAAAGCATCCCTGCGTGCCCATACTTCGCGGACTATCTCAATGCAGCGATCAATTGAGCCCAGCATGAGGCGGGTTTGAATAGATTCCCACCGGCTCAACACCCACTGACGATCATCCTCTTGCTCTGCTTCGGATCCTGCCGCCAACAGAGGGAACATCTGGATAATCAGGGTTCGAGAACTTGAAGGAACGGTAGCCAACAAAATCAGCACGCGCTTGGCAAGCTCGGAGGTCGGCTCTGAAGGCATCTCAGGTACCGCCTGGTGAAGGTATAACAGTGTTGCCCAGCGATAAGCATGGGCTGTTTGAATACTATGCTGGACCTCGGAAGATGGGTCCTCTGGAGGCTCGAAGAATTGCGGTGGTTCCCACTGCTCAACAAGCCTTTTCAGTTCTATGGCTTGCGAAATAAGCGAGATGGAATTAGATGTTGTCTTGCGAACACGTTGAACCAACCGAGCCACTTGATTTATCAGAGGGAAAAGCGTCGTAGCGCAGCCCATCAGAGGATCAATCTCATGTACAGCGTGGCTTGGGAGTTGGAAAAAAGGAGCGTTCACCTCCAGATCCCCCGATTCCTCACGAGAGGTCAAGCGAGCAATTACGTCCATATACAGCCACGTATTGTAAAGGAAACGCACCCTGCTCAGGTTAATCCCACGCATTTCGCCTTGAGCACCGAGCCCCACCACTTGTGAGACTAGTGCTTTGGCACCTTTTAGATGCTGAATGCAGGTACGAGTGTGTTGGTCCCAGGTATCGGCAAACGCAAGCGCTAGGCTCGTCGCTAATGCTGCATCAACCCTCATGTTCCGTATGTCGTGCACCAAGTGGGTGATGCTCTGGCGCATGTGATCCACACCGTGAACTCGCAAGGCTGGAAACTCTTTGCTTGAATGGAAGGCAGCAAGCGAGAACACAGCATGATACAGAGCTGGTGTCTCTTTAGCCAACGGCCAGATCAAAGTTCGCCACGGATTCTCGTGGACACCGTCCTTTACAGACAATATTCCACACGTCACCCTATCAAACTGCAAAACCAGCATTTCTGGGCTTGCAATGCCGAGGTTGGGTTCTCTGCAGATGTTGAATAGTTCCTGGTGCGGAGCGATGTTCCTGTTGGCGTTCTCCGGCCGCCCGGACTTCATGCTTCGGTCGGGCCTTCGTACTATCTCCTCAATATCCTCATCATCAACCTCCATCAATCCTTCGAAGCTAAAACCTTCTTCTGCATAGGAGTTGTTGCGCCCAAATTCACATTTGGGCTCGCGCTCATTACCCGGCATTTGCTCTACTGCAGCCAATGAGACATCAGAAATCCAAGAAATCTGGTCTGAAGGCGAGACGTCTGTGAATGACGATGCGAGAATGTCGTCATTGAAGCTCACTGGCGTTAGCTGACCAATAAACTCATCTGGGTTGCCAAACGAATCCTTGTCGCTGAATGAACGCCTGTTGGACCGTTTTGAAGGCGATGCATTCTTCGAGGTCAGGTCAGCAAGATCCATAAAAGACCCCGAGCCCATGCAAGGAAGGCTAGAGGCAGCTTGCTGTGACTTTGATGCCCTGGTTTGGTTTTGTGGAATATGGGTTCCTGAACTTTCTGTACTTGGGTTCTCATTAGACTGATATTGGATAGCTAAAGGAACGTCAGCAATACACCCTAAAGTTGAGATGGCCTGGGGCTGTTAGCATACCTTTCTTTGTATTTGCACTGCCATTCGTTCCCCCAACGAAATTCTTCTGCCCAAAGCCGTTGCGCCATTTGAATTTCTTTATGTATCCTTCACATGTCACGTTTCGCTTCCTACATTGAATACAACTTGGCTTGGTCTCGTCACATTTCAATCGCTTGTCCTTGCAAGTCTGGCAGCCTGGATAAGGTGAACAATAAGACGTCAGCGCGCTGCGACTTTTGGAGCGTCTGTGCCCTTGTCACTCTGCTCATGCCTCTTGTGCTCTTATTTCAACACATCTGTCGCCCTCCATGCCCATCGCGCTAAAACTAGTAGAAAAGTAATGATACCGTACCGTTACGGCTCTTGGTCTGCTTCGGCTTGCTACGATCTTTGGCAGCACCTCGCTGGCCTGCAGTCGAGTTCTTGGGAGAGACAGACGGGTTGGAATGCCCGACAGCCGATGCGGAGGGACGTTGAACGTCTAGAATAGCAGATGGGGAAGGGATGTTAATGTCTTCCATGTCGGAAGCTGATGTGACGATGACATAAACCGATTCCAGATGGAACGTGTCATAAAAAGTATGAGGAGAAGGAAGATAGTTGTCCGAGGAAAGAGGGAGGGGGTTGACCTCGTCAACTAGGTGGTGGTAAGGGAAGAGGGGAGAGCAACCGAACAGCTTTCGTGGAGACTTCGAAAGCAGATAAGGCTGTTTTGACTGTCCGATGGCAGGGAAACAGAAAAGATAGGGAAAGCCTGGATGTGCGATAGATAACTCAACGCCCCGAGACGGCCCCAGACGGTGAGGAGAGAGAGGGACCTCCAGGTGATAAGAGTTGCACTAGAGCAGCAGATTGCGGAGACAGCTGGTGCAAGTTGTGCGACGCGGATTCGTCGATCCGAGGTAGGAGCTCAGACAAGAGCCGGGTCTCCATTGGAAGCATGGCGATTGGAGCTAGAACACTCCCTTTCATGCAGGTTTCGATGATAATGGATGGAGGCGGGAGGGGAAGAGACAAACGCCACGGTTTGCGAGGACGAAAATGCCCGTCGACCAGTGAGTGCATTTTTTTTTTTTTTTTTAAATTCAAGATAAAAATACGAAGATGGCAGCAGTTGCTCAAGAAGGGGTTACTGAACACAGGGGACACCACAGACGATGTTGAAACAACGCTGCGAGGCGGGGATAGGATGACAGACGCCACCAGGGAGCAGGATGAAGTTGAGAGGGATCGGAGAGGTTCAGCCGGTGTGGGCGACAGCAGTTGATTGCAGTTGGTGGGTGGTGGAGGGAGGTAATCCCCGCGTTCCTATTCGACCGCCTCGCCTTGTCACCTGCCGGCTTATCCTCGACTTCACAGCCACCGAAGCACAAAGCAGAAGATACTACGATTGTACAGACATCTCCCAGTAGGCAACAGGCTCCAAACGTCCCTCTACTACTTGACTTACCGTCCGTCCATCCTATCTAGGTCCCACACCATCCTAAACATCCATTCCTGGATAACGGTTGACCGCTCCGCAATGGGTAGGACAAGCAATCAGCAGCACCGGACTTTCAATCAAAACTCTTCTCAAAATCTGCCCATTCTTTAGACAAGTGCCATCTGCAATGAAACGCTCCGATCAGCATGGCGGAACTCCAAGGAGGGCATGTGGTCAGTCGACCCGACACTGTCCGTTTGCCAGGAATACAACTACAATGCCATGGTCTAGACTTATTATACAAGGTTGTCGCCTGTTCCCAGATGTTAGACAATGTCTTCCGCCCTCGGATAGATCCACGAGTAAGAATCAAGCTGGTCTCCAGGATGACTGCTGGCCTCGTGTTTGTTCCAATCCCCGGGACATTCAACGTCACTCGAATGGCTCTCTCTCTGGTTGGCAACCGAATGCATCCCGGTATTGTGTGCAAGGCCCAGTCGCACAGCTAGCATCAGGTGCAACACCTAAGCTTTCCCTGCTTTGGAGAATAGCAATCCGGACGGGATAACGGCATGCTCGCAGTAAGTATTTGGAATTATGCGTGCCCAGTTGTGCGGAACGTGTTTCACGAGTATCCTTTGTACGCTCCTGACAATCTGGGTTGTATCAACATAAGGCTACATTGGGGTCCTTTGGCGTGGGGGCCGTCATAGGAGAACCTAGTTTGAAAAGGTCGAGCTTTTGATGGGTTGATGTCACCTGGGTGTTGGTCCTTATTGACCGATTTCGGCATTGATCTGAAACCGAGAGCGGGAGGAAGGGAGGGAGAGATAAGGCGCCGGGAAGATGAGGGGATAATGGATCCCTACTCCGCACGCTATTTTGGACGGACACAGCGAACCCCTCGCAAGTGGGTCGTTGTAATCCCTCCAAGACATTGGCTTTGGGAGATCTCCAAGGCATCGATAAAGATGCCAGGTTGCCACTGAAGTCAATTTTATGCGGCATACGTGATGATGCCCAAAATTTAGGCACAATGCAGCCAATGCAGCGCAACACTACGATAGGCAATTCCCCGCCTCCAACAACCCCACTTCCCAGGACCATGGAACCAACCATGAACGTATTCCAACAGCTTAACAGTTAATTTTACAACCATCCCATATATCGTCACCCACTTCACACATACAAGGTACCCCTAAACCACATAACCACTCTCACCACCATGCCTCCCCTACGAACCAAAGTCTTCATCAACGTCGACCTCGGCGAAGGCTACGGAAACTTCAAATGCGGCCCGGACGAAGAACTCATCCCCCTCATCGACCAGGCCAACGTAGCCTGCGGATTTCAGTAAGCAGCAACCTCTCATAACCCCAAACAATCACCCCAAGCTAACCCCCTCCTCCCCGATATAGTGCTGGTGACCCCCTAATAATGCAAGAAACCGTCTCCCTGTGCAAAAAGCACAACATATCGATCGGCGCCCACCCCGGCCTCCCCGACGTGCAAGGCTTCGGCCGACGCGAAATGAAGCTCAGCCCGGAAGAACACACCGCAAATGTCATCTACCAAGTCGGGGCGTTACAAGGCTTCCTAGCACGCGAAAACATCCCCCTCCACCACGTCAAGCCGCACGGCGTGCTCTACGGCATGATGTGTCGCGACCTAGAAGTCGCGCGGGCCGTCATAAGGGGAATACCACCTGGGGTACCGGTCGTGGGACTCGGAGGAACATACATGGAGCAGGCGGCGAAGGAGCTGGGGGTGCCGTTCTGGGCGGAGCTGTTCGGAGACGTCAAGTACGGGCCGGATGGCATGCTGGTGATTGATCGGAAGAAGAAGCCGTGGAAGATTGAGGATGTCAAGGCGCATGTGAGGCAGCAGGTGGAGGATTCGTCGGCCACGGCTGTTGATGGGTCGGTGGTGCAGATGGGGGTTAAGGATTATCCGGTTACCATTTGTTGTCATTCGGATTCGCCGGGGTGTTTGGAGATTGTGAAGGCGACGAGGGAGGTGGTTGACGAGTTTAATAAGGCGAATGGGTTTGCTTGATGGGCGGTGGGGAGGGTAGTGATGGCGTTTAGTGTTGAATAGAATTATTAGGTGATGTGGGTGGGTGTTTCATGCTTGGTGTTTCCTGGGGAGTAAGCTAATAGTAGATCCTACCGCTCATCTTCAAAGCTTCGGTGAGATTATAGTACATTCACACAGTTGAATCAACCTAACCACCCCTTGCAGATGATGACCTAAGCCTTCAATTCTTGACGAAGAGGACTGGCAGGTGAACGATTCTAATTGATCTCACTATTCTACATGAAGTGTTGCCATAAGCCTGCCGTCTTGACTATCCGATTCTGTCTCCCACTGCCACGCACAAAGGCTGATACTGACTGGTTCTCCAAAGCACCATAACTAGCTGAACAATGCTTCAGTTCACTGCATTCGCTGTGCTAACTATCTGAGTCTCGACACAGCATATCTTACAACCGACTCCTAAGCATCGCATTCTCCGTCCCTTCATACGTCACCACCTCTCTTTGAGGATCTTCCGCCGTCTTGACCCCGAACCGCTTCCCAAGAACGACCATCTGAGCCACCGATAGTGTATTCTTGAACGACAGCGTATCATGATCGCGAAAGGCTCTCACGAAATCCTCCTGTACCCCACGCCACTCCAAGAACCCCAGAGCCCTGACATTGGCCTCTGTCACTAACTTCTCGAGGATCCTATACACCGGCCCATTCTTTCTGTACTTTGTTGGACCGACATAAGGTTGCTTCGTGCGCTTATAGACCTCCTCGGTGACGAATGGCTTCATTGCCTCGCGAAGAATATGCTTCTCACGAAAGGACTTTGTCGCAGAGCAGTATTTGATTTTCAGACTAGGGGGGATCCCGTTCACATATTCGGTGAGATGATGGTCAAGGAAAGGCGGTCGCGACTCAATCTGGTACACCATGTCGATGTTGTCCCCTAGGTACCGGAGAATATAGTTGGCCAATATACTTTTCGTCCATTGGTATCCTGTTGAATGCAACGGATGCCACTTTGTAGCCACGTCTGCGAGGACCTTCTCACTGAAGCTTCTGGCAAACAACAGCTCAGGGCGATTGTGACTGTCTTTGTAGACCCACTTTTGGAAGCGTGGCTGGAATAATGCGTTGAATCTGGGGAATACGGAACTATCGTTCAGAGTTTGTGAAGCCTCCGTATCAGAGGGAGGGGGAAGTGCGCCTAGAAAGCCTTTTGCGATTAACGCTTGGGCGGCCTTCCGTGCCTCCGGTAGTTCAGCCATGGTGTCCGATGAGGCCCATGAATGGTCTGGTTCTAGTATGTAACGCCATATGAAGTCTGCATAGCCAGCGAAGTGCTCGTCGGACCCCTCGCCGGTGAGCACGACTCTTTTGCCTGCTGCATGGGCGGCCTCTGCGAGGGCTAAGCGGCCCATTCCATTCACGTCGGGTATGGGCGTCTCTGTATGCCACACTGTATCTTCTAGTCTGGAAGCAATGGCCTCTTCGTCCATAATTACTGGGTGGAAATCAACTCCCAGCCATTCGGCCGTTCTCCGGGCGACATCTGGAACTGGTAAGTGGATTGTGGAACCATGGAGGACCAGTGACACGTACCTGATTCATCCAAGCCACTGGTCTTATCGAACTGGACCGTAAAACAGCTTAGGTTGGAGAGGTTTCCGCTTGCATCGTTTCCTAGGCTCTGGCCTTGTCGAATAATATGTGCCGTCATACCCGCAATCGCCGAAGAGTCCAGCCCTCCACTTAAGAATACGCCAACACCCACGTCAGCACGAAGGCGATGTTGCACTGATTCTAGGAGAAGCTCCCGGACTCTGGCCACCGTCTCTTCTTCTGAGCGCGGGTAGACATGATGCTGTGTAGGATTAAGTTAGTATTTATTCAGTATCTCGCGCGAATTGCTTGCTCACTTTATCGGGGTAGTCAAGATCCCAGTACGATTTCACCCGAGGAGTATTGAAGTCTTGGCTAACGAGGTACTGGCCAGGACCAACCTGGTTGCATGATCAGTGATCCATGGTACAAAGAAGTCGTACTGATTTCGTCACTCACTCGGCTCACGTCTTTGAAGTACATCTGGGGCCCATACAGCCAGCCTTTCTCCCTCAAATTGGCGACGTTCCATTCAGGACTCCATCCGAAAGACAGAAAACATTTCATCTCAGTGGCAACCACTAGTCGGCCATCTATGACCGTATAGTAGAGAGACTTGATTCCATATCGGTCCCTGGCAGCGATGAACAGCTGTCGTCGGGCATCCCAGAGGACTAGAGCAAACTCGCCCCGTAAATGCGAGAGGAACGACTCTCCGTAACGTTTGTAAAGTGCAATGACAATTTCGCAATCGCTCTTACTTTTGAAGTCATATTCGCCCGATAGTTCAGCTTTGATACGGTCATAGTCATAAAGCTCACCGTTCACAACGGCATGAATACTGTCCTCGCTGTCGTGGAATGGCTGGGTTCCGGCGGGGCTCAGGTCGATGATTGAAAGTCGGACGTGTCCAAGCCCTTTGAGTCTCAATGTTAGAATATTGCATACCACTCTTCACGACGCTATATGGACTTACCAACTCGACAGTCCGAGCTAAGCCATTGCCCTCGAGCGTCAGGTCCTCGGTGTCTAATCAAGTCCAGACTATCGTTGACTTTCTGTTCCAAATCTCCAACGCAGGTAAACTCGTCATGCTGCCAGTCAGTCCTCCCATGGAGGGCAAGAAAAGCTGTTAGTCCGCACATGGCTAGCTTCCAGTATTCGGTATGTAGGAGCTAGGGGTACGGCTCTTAAGGTGCGAGATTTCCTTCCTTATGTAGGTACAAATCAATCAGCTCGAGCTTGGGTCTCGGGGAAGACGCATGCGGCCACAAGGTTCGATAGGAGACGTGGTTCTGATACACAACGCTTGCCTATGCACAGTTGGGCTCCATAACTCAAATGAGAGCCCTGAACCGGAGGGTGAATGACGACCAGATTTGGGCACCGGGTTGTCCATTTTGGAGAGTGAATATTCCACACCCCCACGGCAATTTCCTGCAGGTTTGTTAGCTCAACGAAAATGCAGACTTAGTGCCTTCCTCGCGTTGCTCCTTGCAGCAACGACGGAAGGCATGGTGAAGTCAAAAGTGGAAACCTGACTCCAACATATCAGCGACTATCCTGGTGCAGCTTCTCTGCAACGAACTCATGACCAACACCTCAGTGACTCGACCAATACCTGCAACTCCCGATGCTTTGAGATCTGCAAAGTTGAATATGCAACTGTCTCAATATAGTATATAGAGTTAAAAACATCTTCCAGGATCAAAGCGATAATAGCACCCCACCTATGTATATGGACGAAAATTTCCATCGTGGGTAGTGCTCGAGGGCCGCGTGCTTGCTCTTATCCATGGTGCATTAGCTTGCTCCTCCGATTGGTGTTTCGAAATCAGTTCAGAACAGATCTACTGGATCACAGATGGAAGAACGTTCCCCGGCATAGCCGATTCAACCGCAACACCGACGAACCATATCCCACATCGACAAAAAACACTTCAAGATAATTCAAGGCTGGCATGTCAGCGCCTACATTAAGTTTTAGACCATATGCCATGGCCTAGCATGGTTATGTACCAGGTTATCCTCCAAGCGCCACTGTGGGATATACAACAAAGAATGGTCTATCAAAACCTGGTTTGTCTCTCATAATCTGAGCCATTTTGGCTGGTACAGAATGCTCGGACTCCGGAAACAACGCGCTGACTGAATGACACAAAGAAAGCTCATTACCACGTAGCAAACAAGTGGGATGAGGCTGGCCGCAACAAACCTATTGGTCTCCAAATGGTATCATCGAATACTTTCGACCCATTTCTTCCTCGGTGAGCCTTGCTCCAATTAGGATAGTTCGAAGATGGTGGGGTCAACCCAGGACCGGCCTTGAGGCCCCATGACTCTGAAACCAACCAGCACTAACCAGCCCTATCTCTTCGCGCGGATTCGCCCTCGATCTTCTCGTCATCTGGTTTCTGGGTTGACCATGTTCTACAACTGCATGCTGACTTCGTTTTCTGTGCAACAGTGCCGCCAGATACACACATAGAGATAACAAATTCGGATCTATGAAGTGTTCCGCCGCCCTTGATCCACATCCCACGACGCGGTTTACTAAATAACTCACCACTTACTCCAATTCGATGGAGACCAACTGCATGTGTGTGACCCTCTGCTGAAGCTACGCGACTAGTCTCAGCTGAACAATTTGTTAGGCACACTAGTAATCAACTAAATTACGTGTACGAGACACCGTCTCTCGGAGATCAATCACAATCATCTATCCGAGTGATGGGGCACGACGGTGCAAGGGATAGTATTAGGATGCCCTATTCATGACGGAGACCCACTTCAGGGCTAGGAACTAACTACTATATCAAAGAGCCGGCGGCGATTCCACTGATCATAGATCCGAGCGCCTTGTCTGATAAAGGTCTAGTGGAGAGCGCCACCCGGATTTGAATCTCGCTTGTTTGTTATTGGGGCTTAACAGTCCGGTGCCAATAGCCTCTTCTTGGCGGGCCGTTGCGTCTCACCGCTACGATAACTGAGGGTTTGAGGATTGCCGTTCCTTACGTGGGCTATATTTGGCATAGCTGATGAGCCTTGCATTATCACGAGTGCTTAGATGAGTCTAGATCTTGATTTACTCGAATATGCCGTAGGATTATCGTGGGTAAGTAGCAGGGCTTTTCGATCAAACTGACGATCAACTGGATGCATAAAGCTACCTTGCGTGTGTCAAGGCAGTCTACAAGGTCTGTTCCTGTAGTGAGAAGGTTGTACTACCTACCGGCGATATTCGGTCTTATCACGACCCCTGTAATTCTGTCATTCAGAGTTGTCATTAAGATCCACTTTTCCTCGCGTTTAAGGTTGCCCTGCTGGCAGATTAGGGCGCTGTTCGTAGTTACGACCTGCATGAAAGCAGTGAGTCTGACCTATGGGAAAGCGAATCACTAGCATAATATGACGAACTAAGAACGGGACAATTCAGATTACTGCACAAGTATCCTATCTTTCAAGGAGGGCGATTTCGTCCCATACCCTCTTTGCATTGTCATTTCCCTTGGAATTTACGTTTTGTTGGATATGAAGGTCGGATTAGGTCGCGAGCTTTCTCTGATGATCAGCTGCCCACCTATCACTCACGAAATAGAGCTTCCCATGAGTGGAAAGTAGCGGCTATAGAGACGAATCTGGGTCACGAGACTCTCGTCAGCATTATGGCAGCATACCATGCGTATCGGAGGATAGCCGTGAGTGAAGGCCGTTAATGTACTCCCTCTGTTGCGAGACTATTGCTCGTTCTTCGGACGCACATAGAAACATGTCAAGAGAACCATGTGTCAGTTGTGTTATCCTTTTCAAGAGTTACATGCTGGATCGTGTAATATATCGCTTCTATGGGAGTATCCTGGAGCTATCTATGATTGTCCGTGATTTTTATACTATCTAGATGAGCCTTATCCACTTCACTTTCGTCTTTAAGATAGTGACAAAAAGAAACAGTTTGATATTTTCACTGTGGCAAGCTACGACTTCTAGTAAGTATGATGTTTACACTGTCGACAGATGGTATACTAGTCAGGGTCACGAATACTGCCCTCAGACATGGGGAATGTCTTCAGAAGGAAACATCATTCACTCGAAAAGCAACGCGTCGGGGTGGATCGAGCATGTTTACTATCGCGTCAAACCCCAACCTCGACTCTCCTCACAGACCAGGAAATCCTTCTCAGCATCTGTATGCTAAAAGGGTCATCCACCCATTTACCCCTTCTCTTCCTACCATCCTTGATCCACCTAACTAAATACCGGCCTACACACCGTCGCAACATCCCACAAAGATGCCGCGTAACTACGCCTCCCTCGCAGACCAAAGCGTGTTCCCCTCCATTTCGGATCTTCCTGGAGACTATACCTGTCCTGAAACTGGCGGTGGTGTTTTCGGATGTCTACTCGTGGAGATCGTCAGTATCGAACGGATCACGCGACTTGTGCTGAGAACGTTCGATAGGGCCGACTCGCCTGTCACTGTGGCCTTCTACACGGGTGATCGAGGCAGATCCATTGAGAATGATCCAAAATTGAAGCCCGGAAATACTATGGCTATCTTGTTTCCTAGGCGTCATCTCTTTCTCGATGGTACTGTGGGTGTTCGGCAGGAGCACTATGGGTATTTCAAGGTATGGTTATGAGTGCACTGCAAAGTGATTTCAAGTGCACTACGTACTAACCGGTGACCTCAACCTACTAGTTTTTCCCCGGCAATATGAAAGTGCTCTTCCAGCTGAGCGACGAGATGAGATGTTGGCCGGCGAGGTTTGCCACACACAAGAAGTGTCATGGCTGTGAGAAGAAGGATAAGCCTCTTTTGAGATGTGCGAAGTGTGGTGTGGTTACGTATTGTGATAAGGTGAGCAGTATATGATTCTTTCCCGAGAGATGAATCCTTATGCTTATGTTCCATCGTTACAGGATTGCCAGAAAGCCGGATGGGAAGAGAAAGAACATAAGAAGATGTGCAAAATCATTGCAGATAGAGACTTTCGTACTCTGGTGACAATCACGGGCCGCACAGATCCTGTTGCCGAGATTTCTTTCCAAATGCTAAGGGACGCATATGAGAGAGGGCTTCGAGCTTTGTGATCCTATTACACATCTATGTGGCCATGAGATGGGGTATGCCTCGATGTGACAAATTTTGCTGCCACGCGGGGGATGTATGTCAAATAGGTAGAATAACGGCACGCAGCTATGATAATCAGACACTGTACGAAGTGGTTGCGACTCCATACTTCTATGCTATCTCGATCTTAGAATCCACCGAGAACGGAGTGCACGGATAGCTTAACCACACCGTTATCCCAGCCACCTGTGGAGCCACACAAGGCGCCATGCCGACCGCGGATAAGCGGGGGGGATTGCCGCCCCCAGACCGAGGTTAGGCTGGTGATCGGCCGACCGAGAAACGGACCGTGTCCCCCAAACATCAGACACCCCATCCCTCCTCATTCCTCCCTTTCCCTTCAATGTCAGGCCGTTCGCTATCTGTTCTTGCTTGAGTTTTTGACGATGCTTCGATCAGTTCCTCGTCGAATTCCTCGACGTATCCCTTCTCTCACTTCGACTGCCGGCAGTCCATCTCGCCTTGCCTTGCGCTCGTTCACATGCGGTTATCCGCGGATGTCGGCACCAACGTTGCCCCCCGTTGAACCTCTCGTGTCATCCGCACTGCCGGGCGATTCATACCAACTTCTGTCGACGGCTGACAAGGCTGGTGCTGCTGAAGATGCCTTGTATGAGCAACAAATCAAAGATGTGGAAGCTTGGTGGGCGTCACCGCGGTTCGAGGGTATCAAGCGGCCTTATTCGGCCGCGGATGTCGTTAGCAAACGGGGCTCTTTGCAGCAGACCTATCCGAGCTCGTTGATGGCAAGGAAGCTTTTTAATTTGCTAAATGAGCGAGCAGCTGAGGGGAAGCCAGTTCACACCAGTATGTTATTAATTGGACCTTTTCCGATCTTGGCTTTTTGCATATGCTAACTCCCCGCAGTGGGTGCCATTGACCCTGTACAGATGACCCAGCAGGCGCCCAACCAGGAGGTTTTGTACATTTCTGGCTGGGCATGCTCCTCTCTGTTGACTACTACCAACGAGGTGTCTCCCGACTTTGGTGACTATCCTTACAATACCGTTCCAAACCAGGTCCAGCGCTTGTTCAAGGCCCAGCAGCTGCACGATCGGAAGCAATGGGATGCTAGACGGAAGCTCACGCCCGAACAACGGAAGGATACACCCTACGTTGACTACCTACGCCCAATTGTTGCAGACGGAGATACAGGGTATGTCATATCATATAGGGTTTGAGGACTGATTGGCTGATGTATCTAGACACGGAGGGCTGTCCGCCGTGTTGAAGCTGGCTAAGCTTTTTGCAGAGAATGGCGCGGCAGCTGTTCATTTCGAGGACCAGCTTCATGGCGGTAAGAAATGCGGTCACTTGGCTGGTAAAGTCCTTGTGCCTATTGGAGACCACATCAACAGGCTTGTCGCTGCACGTTTCCAGTGGGATATGATGGGAACAGAGAACCTGGTCATTGCTCGTACGGACTCGGAGAGCGGACGTCTGATTAGCAGTGCTATCGATGTGCGCGACCACGAGTTCCTTCTCGGTGTTACGGAGAATGTGGAACCTCTCGCAGAGACCTTGCAGGCCATGGAGCGAGAAGGAGCTGCTCCTTCAGAAATCGATGCGTACGAGATGGACTGGGTTAAGAGACACAAGCTTGTCACTTTTGATGAGGGTATGGGTCTTTGGTACCTCCATTTGTGGCTTGACTAATCGCGATTTCTTTAGCTGTCGATGCACACCTTGAAGCAGAGGGTGCGCCTCAGTCCGCTCGCGACGCATACAAGAAGCGTGTTCAAGAGAACCCCGACCTTTCTATCTCTCGTCGCAGGGCCCTGGCAGACGACTATTCCCAGACACCGGTGGTTTGGTCCTGCGATACCCCCCGCACCCGGGAGGGATTCTACCATTACCGTGCTGGATTCGCGGCTGCCACCAAGCGAGCCAAGGAGTTCGCACCTTACTCGGATCTTCTTTGGGTTGAGACTGGTGATCCGGATGTTGCCAAGGCTGCGAAGCTGGCAGGTGATGTGCGCGCTGCGCACCCTGGCAAGAAGCTGGTTTACAACCTGAGCCCATCATTCAACTGGATGGGTCAGGGCTTTGATGAAGCTTCTTTGAAGTCCTTCATCTGGGATCTAGCGCAACATGGGTACGTGAAGAGTCTCATTGAACACAAAGTCGACAGAAGCTGACCAACATAGATTTGTTCTGCAATTGATCTCCCTCGCCGGTTTGCACACCAACGCAACCATCACGACGGAACTCTCGCGCGCGTTCAAGGATGAAGGCATGCTCGCCTATGTCCGCATGGTTCAGGCCCGAGAGAAGGAACTGGGCGTGGATGTGCTGACCCATCAGAAATGGAGCGGTGCTCCATACCTGGATGGCATTCTCGGAGCTATCCAGAGTGGCAGCAGCAGCAGTAAGAGTATGGGCGAGGGGAACACCGAGAAAGGTACGTTTCGACGATTCAGTGGCATCAACACTAGTTACTAACTGATTATATAGGCTTCTAGATTGAGGCATGATAATATTGTAGATATTTGACGTTGACATCAGTCCTGAATGTAGTAATGTAGACCAGAATTAGCTTTCTTTTCAGCTTTGACTGTACTCAGCTCACAGTATACTGCATACTGGTTTGTATCGGCTTATGCTCTCAGGTTGTATTTACGATACGCGCTGAAGTCTCTGGCCGAACATGTCATTTAATTTTTTTGTCATGCCTTATGCTTCAAGAAGGTAACAGAGCCGTTTCAGATCTGGTCACATCGTATCGAACTTGTGACGAGGCTTGTGTGTCATTTTACATTAGTAAATTCGATCTGTAAAGCAGGTTTGTTGCGGATGAAACTGCCGGGCAGCGATACATCATATGCAGCCCTGCGGAAAGAAAATGGTTTGGTTGCTAACCAATCGGCTATCCAGGACGAACTCCTGCGATCTAATAACTAGTAAATAAAGTCTGTACCACTCGGAATGAGCGTAAGTAATACTAACACGCGCCAACACCTGTTCGTTTCCCTCTCCCAGGGTATTTAGTATGGATGTGTCCATGGTTCGGTTAAGAAAGGCTTGTTTGTTGCATTGATGTTATCAGCCCCACTGCGATCCGAGCTGGTCATTCCCACTACCCATGAACTGTGTCTTGAAAGCAGCAAGGGATTGCTGTACGTAATTCCTCGGCGAAAGGAAGAAAAAATCCTGCGCCATCTTCAGGATGCTGTGCTGGCACAACAATGTGGGAAAGAAACCGGAGAAATGCCCGCGGCGTTCTTTGGTATGTACGTTATGTCGCTTAGTTGGTAAGTTTCCCTTCCGGAGTGGATCATCTGGGAAGAAACCGAACCGCTAAGCATAAAATACAGGGTCCTGGCAAAAAGTACGGGCATAAGGGCGGTATTAATCCGCGTAATAACTATCTGGCTGGAAACAACAGTAATCAATCAGTATAGATGCGGACCAGAAAAGTATACTGCGTATCAGAAACACCCGTTACCTCTCAGGGTAATTACCATTTCAAGGTACCTTCCCTTCCTTGTTGGGATGGGTTTCTATACTTCTTGTTGTTGGGTTCGTTTGAACTGACTCGCTTCGCTCTCTTTTGTCTCTTTCTCCGTTTATCCATCCCTCTTCGCTTCGCCCCCGTCCTCATCCTGAACCCACCTCAGCTGGCTTAGCTTCAACCACTTCCGTCTGGTTCAACCTTCGCGCTAAAATGGGGTCCAGACAGAGCAAGAAAATCCTTACCCGCCTGATGCCGACTTGTTCATCTCCTTAATTCGCCTTGGCTGACAAGATGGATCGCCTTCCGGACGAGATCCTCCTTCTTATTGTTGACAATATCGTCTTGTTCAAAGATAAATACCAGTTCCTCCTGGTTTGTCGCCGTTGGCGGTCAGTTCTCTTTAAGGCAGTCTACGACTATGTTTGGATTGAGGGATCTCAGATTCGCCCTCTTCTCCTGGCCATCCAGGAGAACCCCGCGATAGGATCTTCCATCAAAGATTTCAGGTTGCATTGGTGGTCCTCCTATACAAGGGAGAAGCAGAATCACGATATTACTTCTGTTCTACCGCTTGTGAATCGGATCAGCCAATCAGAGGCGGAAACGAAAGAATGGGAGGAGGCTTTGATAGAGGGCAATCAAGATGCATGGCTTGGCCTACTACTCTTGACCATGGAAAACATGACCAGCTTGTTAATGCACTATACATGGGGAGTCAAATTTTTCAATCGAGTTCTCTCACGTGCCGCAATGCGCGAGAAGCCATTTGACACGATGCCAATTCTACAGCACTTGGAAGACGTCGGGATCGACTCCTCGGACGATAACAAAGCATGGTATCCCAATAACGAGTTCCTCCCTTTCTTCCACCTCCCGTCCGTGCGGTCTGTGAGCCTGGATTCCGTGGTTGAGTCAATGGTTACTCAAATTGATCACCCAGCTTTTAAGCCTGCTAAGGGGACCTCTCCAATTGTTGAGCTAGAATTTGGTGTAAACCCCAATGGCAGCAAAGGCATGGCGGACTTTATCACATCGTGTGCGAATCTCGAAAATTTCAAATTCCAACACTCGAATCAGGTGATATGGGGAGAACGATATATGAATTTCCGTCCTCGGGCATTCTATTCTGCGCTTAGTACGCAAAAGCACAGCTTGCAGGTCCTTCATCTGAACGACCGAGGGGAGACGGGTAGCTCAGGATTTGACGAGGATGTGGAAGATGGTGATCCGCCTCCAATCGACTGGTTCGGGCCAATGGTGGATTTCACTAAGCTATGGGATCTCCGGATTCCCGTCGCCACACTGCTGAATTTCCACTTGAGTGATGACCGACCAAGAGTATCGTCGCTTAAAGAGATCTTGCCGCCTAGTTTGAAATACCTAGCTGTGACACATTTTGAATCCTCTCAGACGGATCAAGTCATGTCCAATATGTTGGAGGTGGTGGCTTGTCGGAAGGAGAAGTTTCCGCATCTCGAGGAAGTGGAAATCCAGACGTATTGGTCAAATCTTCATGCGAGTTCATCTGCCAAGGAGGCTTTTACGCCACTGGTTCGAGCTGGTGAAGATGCGGGAGTCGATATACTTGTGTTTCCTTCTTATTACAGGCAGAGGAGAGGATAGCCTTGACAACTGTTATCTCTTTGCTACTAGTATGTTGAATATATTTCAACAGGCTATATCATCATACTACTCCTTAATCTACGAAATATCAGTGCCTACGACGAGGGGACTTTTGCTATTTTTGTCTCCAATCTGTTACTATTTAAATCATCTACACAAAGATGTGTCCACCTGCCAATATCCAGACAGCAAGAGCAGAAACAATACATCATAACTCAATGATTGCCGCCTATCATTACCAACATTGTCCCTCCATATCCCCCAAGCGTCCAACATAACATACACATTCCAAATCCATCTTCACCATCTTATCCATACATCATAGCAATATTACCACCGCCATTAAGCTTAATGATCCCTCATGACCCCCCTCCTCTTCACAACACTTTCCCATACCATACTTACTTACTACCTTATCAATATTCAACCTATAGATCGACCCAATCTCACAATAATATACTTACTTGCACTACAGGATGAATGCATCAGGGATAAGAACTCCTTGTGGTTGGTAAATATTATGAATAGTGCTTAGATACAGGTCGATAATGCTAGCTATAATACCATAGTAACAAGTGTATATCTTGTCAGCCCTATTTGATAATTACTACGTTTCTCATTGGTGGTTTTAGTTTCGTAGTATCATATCATTTCAACTAATTAATACTAGAAGTATGGTTTTGGTTAAGTGGATGGGTGTATCATGATACCCCTCAGCTGGGCCGCGGGCTTGGCTCGGTAAAGTAAGTAAACTAAGTAAACTAAGTAATCTATCTTTGCCTTGTCTACTCCGCTTTTACTTGCTTGCTGGTAAGTAAGGCTGGTATATAGTACAATATCATGTATGATAGACATTATTGGGGACTTGTCCTGACAATACTACAGTGTACTTTTGTCTTTTGATGAGAAGGTTGAGATAGATAGATCGATTCCAAGTATCAGGTGCTTATTTGGTATTCAAGCTGATAAATAGTCAAGTTGACGTTGGATGGATTGTACTTTACTACTACTATTACTTATTAACTGCTTAGTATACGGTAGATTGAGTATTCGTACTGAGGGGTTTTTCAGGGTCTCATTAATTTACTAAATAGCTAGCTGTTTTATTGCTAATTACGAACTAGATCTATCAGGTATCAAAACTGGCAATTCAATATCCATTCTGGAAAATAAGATAGAGGTACAAGATGCGAGCGTGTATACTCAACGCTTTGGCTCAACGTATTAGGGTTGTGATGAGGGGGAGTGTGGGAGTCGAATGTAATCGACAAGAAGGAAAAGTAAAAAACCGGGGTTGTGAAGAGAAACTTCATGATGACAATCTTGCTTCGTAGGAGATGTAAATAGTAAAAAAGAAACACGGAGGAAATGAAAGTCAAACGGATACCAGTTACAAAAGTGGACAGCTCAAAATGGAAATGGGATCAAGGGAAACAAAGAAGAAAGGAAGAGATAGAAGAAACCCAAAGACAAGTCATAATAGGACATTCGAAGGAGAACTTTCCTCGAACGAACGCATCAAGCGGACTCGTGAAGATAAATGGAAGTAATGGCAGGTAGGTAGGTAGGTAGGCAGGCATCGCCCCAGGGAAAGGGTAAGCCCACACGGATGGATCGAAGAGATAAATACACAAGCCACACTTCAGAAGAGAGGGTCAAAGCCCAATCAAAAGGTGGAAAGGAAAGTAGAAAAAAAACAACCAAGACAACGATTTTCCCCCATGAAATCAACAATTGCTACTCGCTTAATAACGGACAAAACAGCTGCAATATCGTGGCAGATTAGTTGACGCGGAATGCATCAAAGATGACTGCAGAGGTATTAGTAAAGTGAATCAAGCCCGCATAATGAAATGGGATCAGCACTGACCTTCGTGGCCCCTGCGGCAGCCACTTCCAATCCACATCAGAGTGTTCAAAAACGCGTAACGTTCGTCTCCAGTTTCCATGTTCAAGTTGATGCGGTATTTGTATGTATTGGGGTTGATGCTATCCGCCATACCGGGGTCGTTGACCTTGTCCAGAATGTCCTTGGCTCCGGTCAACCAGCCGTTGGTCTTCACGACAATGTATGCGGGGGGATCGTCGGCGGTCTGGAGCATGTAGCTCGCTCGAAGATGTGTAGAAGATTCCTTGGTCACGACCTGCGAGTCTTGTCCTCCAGGCTGTATGCACGGTGAGCATGTTGCTAATTATAGCAGGCAACCAATTGCGCGTCACGACTTACCAGAACGACACCCTTACCCCATCGACCAGCCCACTGACCACCGACGAATGTTACCCAATCACGTTGACCCCAAATACTCTCACCTACCGACACCTTCGGGTTCATCTTAATGCTCATGCGGAAGTCCAGCTCCAGGGTAGGCGCGGGGATCTGCAGGGAACGCGCCACGTCGCCTTCGGGGAAGGTATGAAGAAGGTTGTTTGCGGGGATCGAATCTTTCATAACACTGAGGTAGGTGGGGCATTCCAACAAGTGCTGACGTTGACGGCTGGTATTCTTTGCGCGGACCTGCTGGCAATAGATGCATTGAACGGACAGACACTGGTGGGGGTCTCCTGTCAGACATAGGGTTCTATCGGGCAACACGCGGGCCATGTCCTCGCTCACCTTGTCTTCTTCTTTGGCACGGAACTCCACGAACGCGGCATGAACGTCATCGAGGGGAGGGGCAGGAAGGTTCGAGGTCGAGTTCTTAGGCTTCGCTTTGGGAGTGGCACGAGCTGCCTGCTGGGTGGCAGAGACGGTGGAGGCGGTTCCGGCCGGGCCTGATGTCGGGAGAGAGGCGCGACTCTGCATGTTCTGCAATGGCGTCTGCATCGGGGTAGCATGAGGATTGACACCGTTGGACATCATGGGACCGTTGGGAGTCGCGAGAGCACCAGGCCCCGGAGCAGCACCCGGCGCGGTGGCCGCAGCACCATTGGGGGTGGGAGGGTATCCATTGGCAGCGGCGATGCCATTCGGGGCAGAGGGGGCGGACTGGGACTGGGCCTGGGGGTTGGTGTGGCCGCGGAGACCGGGACACTCGAGCAGGTGCTGCTTCTGGCGTGAGGTGTTCTTTGCGCGAATCTGCTGGCAGTAGATACACTGGACGGAAAGACACTGTGGGAAAGCAAACACGCCAGGTTCGTCATGTCAGTGACGCTGGTGTTGGGCGGCGGGTTGAAATATTACGGGAAATACAGGAGTCACGCACCTTATCGTCTTCCTTGGCGCGGAACTCGACGAACGCCGCGTGAACTTCCTGGTCGACGGTCCGACCCATGTTCACGACGAAAGGGTTGAAGAAATCGATGGTGGATGGATTGGCCGGAGAAAATCGACTAGAAAAAGAGATGAGAAGGGCCGCTGCAGGGGATGGAGATGGGGGTTTGGTTGGACGTTTCGTGGGGAAAGCAAAAGATGAGGAACGAGGCAGCGAGGACTCGGGGGAGCGAGAGTGAAAAGGAAGAGAGAGTGTTTGACCGGGCCTGGGAAGGAAACAAGACGAGACAAAACGGGGACAAGACAAGACCGAGACGGTGGCGGTTAAGTTACGCGAGCCCGTCAGGACGAGACCTTACCATATGCGTAATTTTGATCCCGAGGGGGTCCGTCCACAAGAAAACCAGCATACCGAGAGATTAATATTACTGGTTTTGCTCAACTTACTGTACACTAACCAACGACTAATTATAATACTATCTAGATACATTGATAGCTTGATCATTTTCTTCACCTCTTCTGATCTTCCTCTTCCATTCATCCCTCATTATCTTTCTCTTCTTTGTTCCCTTTTTGAACAAAGTCCAACTCCGGCCTTGGGTGCCTCACCCAAAGTCAAATTCTGTCACGCGGCAGGCTGACCAAAGCCCGACCACGTTCCCCAAATAAGCGGAGGCTTGACAAGGCCCTATCAGCGTAGACCATTCAATGCATCGGAGCAGGGAATACAAATAAATCGAGCAGAGCAGAGCTGCAGCTAAATGGAGTCGATCATCTTTGAGAGATTATTCTACAGCATTTATAAATTTATAGTTAGATCTGTGGTATACATCCATCCATATTTATCTTAGAATCTAGATTGCGTACCCTAAATACCTGATAGATAGTTAGTTATACCGTGTTACTGGTATCGCCGTAAGGGTATGGAACGATCGGCACATTTACAAGTTTCGATATACCGCGTCTCACAAGGCCACCACTTAAACGGCCGGACCGCGCGGATACTAAAAGAAGTAAACTTGCTGTGTTGTTCTATCTATCTATCTATGCCCCGTTCGTATTCGTTCAACCCATCATTGATGAATTTAACATTTTTTGCAATCCTGAGACATACATAAACGAGGGGTCTTGAATCTAAATAATCATCTTCTTCAATGATGGGACATACTAATTGCTCATTTCCTCGCGATCGCAACTTCTTGTGACAGCACACAGTAAGTAGTATGCTGTGTAAGGAAACGCAAGAACGCAGCGCGGCACAGCCACCGCCAACCTCGCGTGTCTTGCCGTGTCTTGGAGGAGGAACCGAATTTCCCCCCTGAACATCATCATAATAATCATCATCATCTTGAAGAAATGTACATAGTATGCTTCAATTGTGCGATGTGCGATGTTGAAGATGCAATACATATATAGTCTGATATAATACTATGCTGGTTAAACGCCGTCATGTATTAATCTGTATACTATTTCTGTTTAGGTGTCGCCGGCATCCATCCATAAATGGAAGCGTTTGTACGTATTACTTATTATTACTAAACTTTAGTACTATGTACTCTCGTATACCATACTGGTATGGATCTAATCAAGACGGTTTATTTGTTTTTACACCACGGGAAAGAAAAATGACGACTTAATTTCAAATAAAACTGCTTTCTGGCTTGCAATATTACTACTTCTTGTCCACTTATGGTGTTGGACCAGAATCACTGCAGACTGGCCTGGCCTGGCCTGATCTGATCTTTCCTCTTGATGATGATGAGACCACACCGGCCCACCGATCGTCAGAGGCCAATCGCGAGCTCTTCTCGACGCCTTGTACTTACTGCGTCGCTTCGTTTTGTAGTTAGTTAGTTCGTATGTTGTTTGCTTGGGGTTGAGGGGCTCACTCTTTGTTTCAGATGTATGTCTGCTGCTCTTATGTCCGGACGTCATCGATAGGGTTTTCTCTACCTTGTTTTGTCAATGCGTACTTGAGTCTGTTGTGCAAGGTTTATTTTCCTGGCGCAAACGATGTGGGCTTGGGGATCTCGTACTGATAACTTGGTGGTGGTCATGATGCTGGTTTAGTGGTATGAGGCGTCGGAAATTTTGGTTTAAAACTGTATTTGAGAGGCTTGGGGTCTCAGACATGGTATGAACAGTAAATTTGATAGATCAGCTATTAAAACGTTTTGTGATGAAGACTTGTACTTCACATGATGTAAATAAGGAAATTGATAGAATAGAATGACACGTGCATGTCTCTACTCAAAACAGTCAGGAGTAGGAAAAAAAGTAAAATAAACAAAGTACTCAATACAGACGGGGGACTCTGCAGCTACAGATCTGACAACGGACGATCAATGCTGTGCTGCAGTAGCCTCCGACAATCCGGGTATGCATATGTGAATTTCTCCGTACTCATATCGCACGCCATATTCTTCAGTGCTTTGGTCTTCGTATGCTTCTTGGTGTACCGAAAGTATACCTCTAGTTGCAAGGGTAAGCACATGCATGAGACCTTGAGTAGCCACGATGTGAGAGGTCTTCTGCGGAGGGAGGAGTGTGGAGAATGTTACTGATTTGATTTCCCCGGCTGGACCATTCGGGTCATAAACTTCCTCTTCGTTTGCAGGTGTCGCGGTCATGAATATGCTTTCCAAGTACTTGAGGAAGTTTAAGCTGTCTTGGTCAAGTGTTGACTTTTGTGATTCATCATTGAGCACTTGCAGGCCCTGAACAACAGAGTGCGTTTCATGGCCTACTCCCATTACTTGGTCCTCAAAGGCTCCGCCATGCTCTGTCGCAAGCTCTGTGTGTAGATACTGAGAGATGTCAAAGTCGTCAAGGTTGTCCAGCTCACCCAATTCGTTTCCGGGAATGGAGAGGACATTGAGCGCTTCAGCATCGAAAGGAAACCCACGACCAGCAAGGGGACTTGCGCTTGTAAGACGGCTGCGTGCTCTTCCAAATCCGGTATCGGAAATGCCATGCGATGAAAAGTCACTGGCGCTGCCAAAACCGCGAAGAATATCCGCCGCAGACGAGCCCTGCCGAGAGCTTTGGACCGATGCTGTGATGTTCCATGGCATTTGAATGGAGTGGTCATCGCGAAGAGATGATGGTGCATTGCGACCAAGTTCGACATCCTGTGTAGAAAAGGTCAGCTTTGGTCCGGTAAGCATAAGAGCACGTCGACATATACATACCTCGTTCCATAACCTGTCGTCGTGACGTCCAATCTGATCTTCATCCTCCACCCTTGGACGGACACGCCGTGTGTCGAGATCGGGATCCTCGCCTTCAATCGAGGGATGAACACGCTTGCGTACTCGACCATTTGACTCATCAAGGAGCTTTTCATACAGCTGCTTGCCCGAGAAAGAATGCAATGGGTGCGTGACTTGAGACAACCCCACGCGCACACCGACAGAACCAATGCCTTGACCGAAGACCCAGAAGGCAGCCCTCTTTTTCGCCAAGGTTGGAAGCTTGTTTCTCTGTTTCTGCTTCGAGGCTGCTGCCATGTTCTGCACATAGTTACTATTCAACTGGGCCATTTCAGTGTTTCGCAGTGCGATTTGGGCATCTAAACCAATGAGCTTGGGACCTCTTCTCTTTTGCTGCAATGCCATATTCGACTCCACAGTATCTTCATCGTCCACTGCCTGATCAAAGATAGAGGCGCGGTTTTGGGTGGTCTTCTGTATGTCAACGCTTTCGGTTTTTGGCTTTAGATCTGGTAGTTCTGTCTTGGGTCCTTCGTCAAGTAAAGCCGACTATTTCATAGTCTTGTCAGGCAATTGAAATATTTAATGAGAGATTAATGAAGCGTACCTGATCTTCCATGACAAAATTCTCTGTCACATCAACCTCCATGGCATCTGCAGCTCTTTCTTCCATGGTGGACCTAGTCCCTTGGAATCTTGTCTCGGGCTGAACTGATCCAGCAAGCTCTATGATATTTCCATCTTCGTCAAATTCAAAGTCAGGTTGCAGGATCACTCCGGATTCTTCACCAAGCTGGAGGGGCTCGATGCCACCAAAATCGATGCCTATCCCTCCATACCGGCTCACACTGGTACCTGCGCTGAAGCCATCTATATCCCCAAATGATCTATTGGAAGACAAATCGAGTTTCAGACTATCAGTCTGTGAGAGAGCAGATTGGCTAAGATCAGGAGTCTGAGGCCACATCCGACTTGGTTGTTGACTCAAGTCTAAGTCAATCGACAGATTCAAGCTTGAAAAATCCAGTCCCAAGCCAGGGAGGTTATTTTCAGGAAGGAAACTCGGATCGTAGGGTAGAATGAGCTGATCTGGTCTGTGAGAAGGGTAAGCACTGAGACACTGTCGCAATGTCCACAAGTATTAAGGCACCAGAAGTACAGACCTAGCCTTCCCTGCCATAGGGTCAAGGCCACCTCCCGGTAGAACCTTCAGCAGAGCTCTCATCCTGTCATGCATGGCTTGAACATCGGTGAGGGTGTATCCACACTGTTGGCTGTATACCCTCGACACCCCATATCTAAAGAAGTATGATGCGATGAGTAGGTAGTCCTCGGATTTGTTTGCGAACAGCAGATCTCACAGTAGATTCCCCTGAAGTCTCAAAGCCATCGGCGCCACCGGGTCCATTATGACACCACACGTCTTGGGAACATCCACATCCAGTATAGCCTTTTTGTTCAACTTTCTAGTCACGGACTTCGAGCCCAGGGTGGCAACCAGCCTATAATGATTACAGTGTCAGTATAATAGAGCAGACAGGTCTCAGGAGGGAACGCGACAACTCACCAGACCGTAGCAACTCCATGTTCGGGAGATGTGAGAACTAATCGAATGAGTGCATCAGTAGCCATTCGACAATAGCATTCGCAAAGCTCCAGGTTCAGGGTGAATCCATATCTAAATCCACTTACTCTCATGGCTATAGAACATTTCGACCTCGCGCCCTTATGCGCCTTGGGGAGCGGTCCTCGACGCGTCCCTCAGGCTGATGCTCAATCTATGAACCACCACGATTTTAGACGCGTAAGGACGTTTCAGTAGCTGTTTGGATCTGGGGACCGCGCCCCG